TTGGTTGTGTTGGGTGGGTTGTGTGTGTGTGTGGTGGTGTGTTGGTGTGTGTGTAGTACAAGACCACTTGTCCATGTTTAAAACGGATGCTAAACAAGCAAGCTGTTACTTGGGACACCTTGCTCGAATTGGATGGGAACAAAGCATTTAGGCAGAAACACGTGGTTACATTCCGCTGTTTACATAGTTCCAAACATATGGTATACCTTTTAATATAAGAACTGTCTTTAAACACTATAACCTGGGCCTACAATGGCCAATCCCTAAATGGATTTCTGGGGAAATTACCTGAAAGGCGGGCAAGTGGTGTAAACTAAAATAAGCGAAATAAATGGCCGACAGATGAAAAAAGCCGGAAAGTGGCGCCTAATGGTCAGAATTATGAACACGCAGTCAAGTTGACCATATTACAAGTAAACTACACATGAGGATTCAGGCAGGTAATTTAAGCAGAAAATGCCCCATTCATACTTTCATAATACTATCTCTATTCTCTGGTTTGAAGTTACTGCTGCACACATCTGGAAATTCCCCCAGAAAGACCACTCAACCAAGGAACCTAACTTCCCCTCCGTCCCCTTGGAATTAAAGTAACCAATGAAATCTTGGTGGTGCGTTTTTAAGAGAGAACTAAAAACAACCACATAAAAAAGTCAAAGAAGTGCAAAAACCCGCGTCTTATCACAGATCAGATGCTTTTATTACTACAAACAGTCAGCTGAAAGGTTTTGGTGGGATCACCATGGCAACAGTCCTGGTAACAAGTTCTGGAAAGTAACAGGTGTACAGCAGCAGGTGCAACTCAAACCACCTGATCTGTCCATCCTCCTCTCTCTCAATCCTCCCTTTCCTCTGTCGTCTTGTGTTGCGCACACAAAGACAGCCACAAACACACACACGCTACAGAACCGTCCTGTACATTGTCGTCTTTCGGTGTTGAAATCCAGAATGGTGTTGTATCACGCCCATATCTTGCTGCAGATGGAGCACTGCAAGATGGCTATAACCATAAATTTTAAAACTGGCGTTTTAGTAACTTAAACACTTCTAAGTATCAATGTCTGCCTCAGTCTGTGGTGGGTTGGTGTGTGGTTGGTGTGGTGTGGTGGTGGTGGTTGTTGGTGGTGGTGGGGTGGTGGTGGTTGGTTGGTGTTGTTGTGTGTGGTGGTGTGGGTGTGTGGTTGGTGTGGTGTGTTTGGTGTGCTGTGCGCTCGAATGGAATACATAACACGGAAATGGTTTGTGGCTGTTCTTATCTGGTCATTCCTTGCTTAAGTATTTTCTGGGCCACTTTAGGTGGACTAAATGGCTGATGCTTTGTTTCTGAATTAAGGTCCTAATCTTCTTTTCCTCTTTCTCTACTTCCCCATTTTTTTCCACGAATGGACTTCCCCACTTTCTTCTCTCTCTCTCTGACTGGTCACTTTCTCACTTCCATTCATGCTACTTTTTCCTCTTCCCTACAAACTCATTTTGTTTCTGTTTTCGTTATCTTTCTCCTCCTTCTGTTGGTCCTTTCATCTTATCCATTTTTCTGTCTCTCCTTGCATTTTTCCATCCAACACATACACACACACACCCTTCACAGATAAAGGGATCTCTGAAACCCGTTTGTGTAATCTAGACATGTAGGAGTTCGGCACATTAAGGTTATCACGCTATATCTCAGCATCTCTAAGTGCTGAATCCCCCTCCCCCCAGCACAGCTCTATCTCCCAGTTTGTAATTAAAATACCCTAACCCTTACTGGCCAGTAGTGGGACCCTTCCTCAGACCAGGAAACTACAGTATAAACTTGTGTATAGTAGCTCAGCTTGATAAACCTCTAAAAAAAAAAGCAAAAAAAAACAAACAAAAAAACAAGGGTCCTTGCAGTTAAGAGTCATACTATCTCAACACGATATCCCCAGTTCAATTACAGCCAGGGATGCTTTTGCATGTATGAGATGCACCATGTACACTCTCTCCATTTCCTATATAAACTATATATATATATACATATAAATGGCAGCTTTTGTACCAGCCCCACACCCACCACATGTAATGCAACACACCCTGATGCTTTTAACCAGTCATCCAAGTTATAATGTCACCAGAATTGTTTTAAATTTTAATTTTAAATCATATTTTCATGCACAAAGCCACAGTTAAAAATGGTCCCTGCTTGACTTGTCATGCCCCATAACCTTAGGCAAGGCATGCACTTCTCTTTATAGCTCAATAAACACAATGTTGCATGCTGTCTGCCTGGTGCACTGCTCTCAGGCCTTTATCCACCAAATAACCGCAGTTATTCAAAACATACTTAATCTTAATCATAAAGCTGAAGCACCCTTTAAGTTCTGACGCCTCATCTGCTTTGCTACCCACCCCCCAAAAACACTCACCAACACTAAACATGCACAAACACCTCGCTTACACAAAACAATCAATAAAAACAAAAAGGCCTGACAAACAATAACAAGTGCAGCTTGTGCTCAGCAAACAAGAGTCAGGACACAATTGAAAATCAGATGAAATCACTTCAGTGCGTTTCCTTGCATGCCATTTCCGTCTGTGACCCATATTTGTTATGCAGAGAAAAAAAAAAAAGCTAGCAAGCTAACTATGCTACGTTTTAGCCGACAAGCTAAGTCAACACCAAAAAGAACAAAGGGAGGCAGCGTCGCACAGGAAATATTTCACAGTTTATAAAGTAGCGACCAGGCGTCCTTTCTCGCTCCGAGGCCCCGCTGTGGTGCAGCGGGTGCCCGGGTGAGCTGCCGTGTCTGTCCCCGGCTATGTCTGGCTCGGGTATAAAGGAAAGGGAAGGAGACCTCCAGCCAGGACAACATGCAAGAAAGCCTAGAGGAAGCCCACCCCCCCCGTTCCTCTTTACTAAAAAGCCAAGCTTGCAGGCACAAAAAAGACGTCGATAAGCCCCGTAAGTTACCTCCAGTGCCGTCCGAGTTCTCGTTTAAGCTGCCCGAGGAGTCGTGGTGGCTCCCGACACAGCCACCCATGGATGTTTCGGCAGAGCAGCCCGGGCTAGGTAGCTCACCCCCCGGCCCACAGCTAGAGCTACATCCACTAGCCCCCCCTCCTTCTCTCTCTCTCTCGTTTTTTTTTCTCTTCCCCCCTCCCCTTCCCTTCTTTCCTCCTTTCCTTCCCTCCAGTCCTCCCCTTTCCTCCTTCCCTCCCTCCCTTCTTCCTCTCAGCATCGGCGGGCCGCAGCACGCCTCATCTTCTTCATCTGTGGGAAAGGCGGAGGCTCACATCATTACAAGGTGACCGAGAGAGGAATGGAGGAGAGAACAAAGGATAAGTGCACTGTAAAAATAAAAAAATGTCTTCTTTGGGGCAGTAAATGTTTGCTTTAGACTCTGGTGATAATGTATGTTGACAGGTGTGTTTATGTTTTGTGTTCAGAGAAGCTGTTTGCTGTCCTGAGGAGGAGGAAGAAGACACATCAAATGACTTACCCCTTGTTTCCTTGAATGTCAAGGAAGCCCCCTCCTGCTGTTGACCTCTGTGTTTAAGATTCATGTTAACCAGCGGGCTGGTTTCATCTAATCTATTCTCTTCTTTTCTATTATATTGCATGTGGATAAGTATACATAAAAAGCAACAATGGACAACAACATGCAATATAGAAGTCACTTGTTTGTTAAATTGTAAATGATGCAATAATGCAAAGAGTCGTGGAATAAATACAGAATTATTAATGTAATAGATTACCTTAAATACATGAAGTAGGTGGATATCTACAGTATATGCATCTATTATGTCTATTTACATTAGATAAGATATAAGATAACATATACCTTTATTAATCCCCTGTAGGAAATCAATACAATACAATACAATCTTTTCATAGATAAGAATATTACAAAATATAATAGAAATATAAAAATATAACTGAAAAATATATACATTATAAGCATATAAGCAATGTACAAGTACAATGGTACAATTTAAAAATTTTAAGCAGTTTGACTAAAAAACTAAACTGTACATGTGCAATTTAAGATAAATAATATAAGTTTGGTTGAATTTAAAAACAGTCTTAAATCATGCTTAGATTATATAATAACAGTGATGATATATATGTTGTTTATTGTGTATATGTTTTTAGGTTTTAACAATGACACAATGTGAATTTAAGTGTGAATTTGTTGTATAGGTCAGTGATTTACACACTTCTTCACGTCAAGGACCCTTAAACTAAACCGTGGACCCCCATTTTATAAGATTTTGTCAGATCAGATGCAGGACCCTGGCACAAAATGTTATAAAATGGTGGTCCACAGACCTCACTTTGAAAACCGCTGCTATAAACAGATCAGATTTCACAACAAATGTGTGAAATGTGCTACTCTATTCTCTCACAGGGTTTCAGAGGCTTCGACTGGGTAGGTTGTTGATTCAAACAAGCACACAATTTAAATGTGTTGGCCTTTTTAAAATGATACTATTATTAGTTTTAGACTTTACAAGTTAAATTGTGTTATTGTTCTATTTCTCATGCATAGTAGGACTTCAGTGATTAGACAATGTTGCTGACTCAAACAAGCACACAATTTAGATTTATTTTTTCATTATCGCAGATAAAAATCTGATTTTGCGAAGCAGAGTGAAATGTGGTTATTATGCTACCTATTCTGTTCTATGTTAGTCTTTCTTGCAGAGAGGTTTTTTATTTTATTATACTAGGTTATTAGGTGTTAACACACATTTATTTCAGCTTGATCAGATTTCACAACACTGAGTGAAATGAATATATTGCTCTCTTCTGTTCTACTCACTTTATTTCTGCCCTCAAATACTGCAATGTTACACCACATGGACACACTCCTGCCTGGTCACTACTGGCTCCTGCCTGGTCCCAAAGACACTTGAGTGTAATTTGACACACATTCACACACACACACACACACACACACAATAGCAACTAGATAGCGAGGGTAATTTTACAACAAAGCTGTCTGGAATTACAAGTATTTCCCATTGCTAGGAACTGAAAGAAGACGTGCAGGAGAGAAGTTACTTGGAAACCCTTTTCTGATTGCATGATGTAACATGATGTAACAAGTTACTGATAATACACTTAACATGTCACTGCATAGTCTGTTATCACGGTCACAGCAGGAGATTCAGCAGAATCATATGCACTATATGTATATAGACTTATATTCATGACGCAAATACCCTTTATGTTAAGATATTTTGTTCAGAAGGTGCTAATGTGTGTCACCTGAGGAAAGTGATTAAGTAGAGAGTGTTGCTCTTTTAGGGACCAGTGAGTTTATTTCAAGATTACTGACGTTTTTATACTTCAAAGAGCATCAGACCCACATTGTTATGTCCTAAAAAAGGTTAAAAGGAAAAAGTATACTTGTTAAATCTCCACAGCATGTAGCTATATGGTTCCAATTAAAATCCTACACCCTACACCTAATTGTTAGATGCCACAGTAAGCTGTGAAATATTACCCACACTGTTCAAGGCAAGAATAGGTTGTTGACTAAACACATGTGGAAAGTGTGACAAGTTCTAATTTGTGGGAGCTTTAGTGACCTCTAGTGATAATGTTTAAAGTCCGTAACACACAAAACATGTATTTAAAAAATGTTGTCAGCAGAAAGACAAGTTTGATGGTAGTTAAACCCAGACATGTTGTAGACCATACCTTGTGTAGCAATAGGCCAGTGAAACACATCTGTCAATACAGTATTAAGATTTTTCAAATTAGACTGGTTGAAAAGATCAGATCCATCTGTATGCTTCCATGCAACCTGCTACAGTACTTTATTATTATCTAAGCAGAAGAAATACGTTGAAATTGGGTGTATTCTTGCAGATTTCGTGGTACCTTATGAACAAGAGTATTTCCCTGCCTTATGAATGAATTGAAAATGTGTTGTGTGATGTAACTTTGACTTTGAGTGTGATCAGTCAGTCAGTGACTGATAGAAAAAAATGAAATAATTCTGCTTGTACGTGGCTCAGTCAGTAGATGGAGCTAGAGAGTCTGAACTGCTGACTGAGGTGTCCTGCTGGCACCAAATTAGTGTGTGTGTGTGTTTGTGTGTGCGAGAGAGAGAGAGAAATCATTGTATTGTGCAGTATTCATATTTGCTTTGGCAACATGTCAGATTTAAAACGTTATGCCAATAAAGCCAATTAAAAAGAAAATTGAGTGCGCAATGGAGGTTTAAAGGTTAGGAGCATTTATGTTCTAAAGATTTTGTGTAATTAAAGACCCTCAGCGGTCAGAAGCTCTTCCATTTTTTTTTGCTCTTGCAGTTTTTGAAAGTGAATAAAACATATTAGACCTGCTATAGTGCTAGTGTGTCATTACATTAAGACATATGGTCCTATCAGCACCTTTTTGTCATATATCATGTCTGATGTTGACATATTGGGTGCCACTCAGATGCACTTAGACATAGATATGATGCATCTGATACAAAACATGGCATGTGGGCTGAAAACATAAAAGCAGAAAATTGCAAATAGCCACACTGGTTTTCCTCTTCACAGCCACCGAGTCAGTAATTGCTCTGCTGTCTGACTTCTCTGCAGGACAACAATACATCAGGTTTCCTCTTTCAGGTTGAAAAAAAAAAAAAGAACCAGACTTTTTCAGACATGACGAGCAGTCTTTGCTTTTCACAGACTTTTGAAGTGGACTCTTCTTTATCTGACATTTCCCTCTAATCTCTATCTTGGTTGCTTCTCTCAGTATCTACACCCTTTCTTCTGCCATTCTTTGTCTTCTTCAGTGGCCTCTCTTCCTTCCACCTCTTTCATCTAGCCTACAGAAAAGCTGACACAGGGGTTAATAGGCTTGTCATTGATTTATTCTCAACTGCCTGGCTCTTGTGCTGGTCTCAAAGTCTTCAGTCTTAGATCTGGCCTATTATCTATCTGATGCTGCAGTTCCAATTGTCTGGCCATTGAAGATGTTCAAGTACCCCATCTGTGTTGAAGATAGGGATGCTAGCAGGTCATTGATTTACTGTTATCTGTCAAGTACTACCCCCAACCCAGATTTATAACCATAGAGTGTATGATGTTGATGTTGAGTGATGATGACTGGAGAGACTGGGCTGTTCTGAGCTTTTAAAATAATTCACATCCAGCTGTGTGTGAAGGAGGCTGGCAGACAGTTGATTGTCCTTTCATTGATTTACTATTACCTTCTTTGTCAGAACCAACCAGGAATAGATGAATAGATGAATAGATGAAATGGATAAGCCAGTGAAGCCACAAGAGAGCCAGATTGTACAGAATTCATGTCAAGTTGACCCGGAGGTTAAAAGTGGCAAAATATGCTCCAAATGTAGCTGGGAATATCCCATAGCCCCCCTTTTTTGCCTTTTCCCATCTGTTTTATTTTATTTAGTTAAGTTAAACCCAATATACTTATGTCTATAGTTATTGTGCAACCTACCAAAGAGAAATGTTACATCCTGTTTTACTGAGACGCTCAATTCAGTATTACCTTTTATGCTACTTCCACTGACACAAAACCAACTAAATATGTGAAATCTAAGAGAAATATATGAATCAGGTGCTTTTTGGTAAGGAAATGTACTTGGCCGTATTTGCAAAAGTTTTTTTTTTGTCTCAATAGTGTAGATGGAGACAAAGAAAACGATGCTGATTTATCTGCTTTAATGTGTGCTTGATCTTCAGTTCTCTTTGTGGTCCACAAGTATTGCAAATAATGCATACTTTTATTTCACACATACTCTGGTTTTTGAAACAATGTTTTTACTGAAATCCACAAAAACAAATGCAGAGGTTGTAGAGGTTACAGGAAACACCATTTATAAGAAAAAAATGTGAAATACAGGTGAAAGTGTGAAATGAACAGAGTAGCACCAGCATTGAGCGTAACATGCCAGATTTTATAGCAATATATGACAATAATGTTGGTGTGTAAGGACAAGAAAAACCATGGAGAGTGATCCCACCTCACCTCCTGTGCATAGGATCCAATTCCTAGCTAATTCCTTGCATCTGTGCACATTTTCCATGTAAATCCTCTGTTTTGTTTGTTTTTTTGGCCACAGGCTGTTTGTGAGAAAAAGAACCACAGAGTGGCCTGCATCATTAAA